AAGATCAATAGTGTTTTTCCATTTATTTTTTTATTTTTTGTTTTAGTTTTCTTATATAAAAAATATAAATTTATCCCTTTACCTTTTAAAAATTAGGGCCTGTTTGAATGGCCTAATTTTCCTTGGAAGTAGGAAAATGAATTCCTTTTTCTTGGTATTGACTTGTTTGATGAGCAACATTTTCTAGGGCAAATGTTTTCTTGGAATGAAGTTCACGCGCTGCAATTCCTTGTTTTTGGGGAAATCACTTTCCCACCAAAATGGTGGGAAAATGATTTACATCTGCTGCTTCCCTTTTTATTTTGGCAATGGAAACAAATATCATAATTAATTGTAAAAATAAAAATTCTCTTTAATGGACAATTTTCATATAAAACAAAGTCAAACGAACACTAAACTTTGATAAAAAAAATGATTTTTTAGGAAACAATTTTTTTTTCCGTTTTTTTTTTTTTTAACTTTTTGAAAATGGAAACAAATTTTATAACCAATCGTGGAAAAAAAATCACTTTAATGGACAATTTCCATATATAACAAAGCCAAACGAATAAAAAATTTAAAAATTTTTCGGGTGGAAAATTATATAAATCAAACACACTTGAAATCATTTTCCCTGCGAAACATTTTTTAGACAAATTTTTTCCCTGTAAAATATTTTCTTTTCACCAATTTTCCATTCTTGTAATCAAACGCACCCTTAGTCTACATTTGATTGGATATTTGATTTTTGGTCAACTAATAGAAAAACTAATAGCCCTCGTTTGAGCCACATTCTCATTCTACTCATTTTCAACCACACATTATTTAATAAAATAATATTTTCTATCATATCAATAATTTTTCTTTCTTTTTCAACCATATATTCACATCATATAAAAAAACATTCTTTCCTAAAAAATGTGCACCAAACACCTATTAATTTAGGCTTCAGGTGCGAATTTTTGAAATATTTGATATCGTGAGTGTTATAAATTAAAGATTTGGATCAAATCTGAATAAAAAGTGAAATATTTGATACCGTGACTACAATTTTTTCTATTTTAAATGAAATAATCTTTAATGGAAGATGTACTAATTAATGAATGAAAGATTAATGACAAAACTATGGTGAGAAAGTTAATGATATAATAATGTTAGAAATGTTGAAGGCATTTAAAATGTGGTGCATTTTTTTTTTTTTTAAAAAGTGTGCGAATAATAGGATCAAATTGCTCTTTTTAAAAGTTATGATCCAAATTGATACAGTCACTAAGATTGGGGGACGACGGGATAATTCATCCCTTCACTGTTGTTATAGAGATCTCGCTTATAATTTTCGACTGAAGAAAATTCCATTTAAGCTTTCGCATATATACACAACCCTGGTAGCTGAGCTTTCTCTCTTCAGAAGTGCCCCTCTCTCTTTAGATCTCTTTTAGTTTCTCTTTAGTCACGGTTGGGTTCCGAGGGTTCCTTAGTTGC